GATTTCGATTTGTAAAATAAAGTGCAAATCACGGAAATTTATCAAAAACTGCCGTATGTTCAGGCAAATATATTTAATATGTTATAATAAGAAGTCTTCAAAACAGAATGTCTTCCAATTCGATGATCAAAGGCATGCAGACGCGACAATAAAGCTTTGTGTTTTAGACCGATGTTTCGGATTGCGTCACAGCGTCCGTCAGGACAAATAAGTTTTTCGCCAAACCCTATCATCTTCTTAGGATTCGTTTAATTTTTCTCGTTTTGCAGACGAACATTGTTCTGTGCTACTTCAATGTCAGATGCTGCCACTTGATGCTCGCTGAATAGTGACCATGCTACAGTTGCACCCAAATTGAAAGTGCCTAACTGTTCGAAACCAGCTGCAACTACCTAACAACAACTGAACCCTAAAACACGGTCATGCTGAAAATGTACATTTAACTATTTAAAATCAAACTTTCACTTTCCAACGCAATTTACATGCGTCCGTAGTCATCGCTGTGAGCAGCTCTGCTCTGAGGCTACAGCAGCATTAAACATTACGGTAAGTTGCTGTGATGGCTGAGGGTCCACGACGAGAAACCATGAGTGCCTATCAAGTAGAAAACAAAGCTAGCGAGTCACAAGGTCTGGTAATCTATAGAATCGCTCTTCATCTGGACACTGTACCAGCTGAAAGATTGATTCCAGGACTATGGCCATGAAGTGTGTGATCAAAAGCTAAAGTCTCTTCGAGCTCATTTCCCGTTGAACGAGTCCGTAACCTTCAACGAAGCTTCTATCGGTGCGCTGCTGAGCTACTTCAACAACGAGCTGGACTGGGAAGTGAAGCGGCTGTGGCTTCGAAACGTGAAGACAACCGCCCAGCAACCGTTCGCCCTCTGCAACCGCCTGGTCAACGATTTGAAGCAGGCGACAGAACAGAGCAGGTGCGAACAGAAGTCCACGAACTCCGGCGCCTTCACAATGATGGCTATGGGCATGATTCTGTACGGCGTTGGCCACAGCATGCCGTGGACGCTCGGCGTGCCTCTGATAGACGACAACGTCAAAAAGCAAAGTACTCCATTGTACTTTGGTAAGTCAAGCAATTATCGTATTCATCGTTTCTTCATCGCGGTTTAAATTGCTATTTGCACCAATAAATGAATGTCAAAATGAAAATTTTAACGTATAAACGATAAAGTTGACTCAGCGTCATGTACATGACAACTAAATCAGCCGTTCCTCTGAAGAGCACTCGGAAAGAAATTATGCGCCGTACCATGCG